AGCGGGCTGCGTGGCAGGGCTGGGGAGACGGAGCGAGCTGCACGTGGACTGCTCCTGGTGTGGTCCAGGCTGTATGAGCTGTGTGAACACGATGGGAAATGATGAGCAAGCACCAGCCAGTGTACCCGCTCAGTGTTAGTCTTCCACATGCTCATTTAGGTTTGCAAGTGTTTGTAGCAGGGGTAAAATGCGCTGGATGTGAGTACAGGTCAGACAAACTCTCACCTCTAACCTTCAGTGAATACTTTCATAGTGAAATCCTTTTCCATATCAAAATGGATCATGCCACCTAAATAAGTGACTTTTTGAAGACAACTCTTACATGAAACGTTGTTTGTTTGTTCTTGAGAGGATTTTGCTATAGGGCATGTGCACTCACCAGAAAGACAGAGAGAGACAGAGAGCTAGAAAGCGAGAAATCACCCCCCAGGGGTGGATAGCCACGCCACAATCCCTTCTCCATTCTCCTCTCGGCGGGATCTTGGGCCTGCATGCACCCAATGAAACAGTTCTAAACCACATTTTCTGAGAAAGCCATTAAGCCTACTTTTTAAAACACGGAACACTAGAACACTATGATAATTTAATGATTATAAATGCCCAAAATACTTTCGAAGGCATCCTTTCAAGAGGATGGAGTACATTTTGACTTCTAATTAATTAGGTCAATATTTATGGTGCTTTTTAGGAAAGTAAGCTCTTCAGTAAGGAGGAGCTGCCCCCAGAAGTTTGTAGTCCATCTGAAACAATGCTAGAGAGATCTCTTATGTGTTCAGATGCAGAGGCCAACTTAAAAACTGCCGGATCATCAGCACGAGCCAGCCCTTCTTGGTCATTGCCCCACCGGTACCTCTGCTAAGGAGCCCACAGGTCCCTGTGCCTAAGTCCTTTGAACCTAGACGGAGCACTTTAGAGCCAGCATCCCCCCCCCCATCGTTTTACATCAGGAACAATCTGCACAAGGGGGCAAATACAGCTGATTTCCATGGCTACTAGACTATACCAACTGTATTTTAGTTAGGGTTCTACTTTAGCTCAAGTTTCCACAATAGCAGTTTCAAGGTTATTATGGTTTTATCATGAGCACTCACGGTTCAGGCCGGTTTCTGACGACTCTCACCATGGTCTTGCTTTAAGTTGCCGTCCATGTGTTCCTCCGTAGATATGCCCCAGCCTCCCAGCGAAGACCTCTTCATCTTGCCCGATGAGTATCAGTCTTGCTTACGGCATAAGCGTGCTCTTCTGAAGTACCACGGAAATGAAGAACTCAATGTGGAGACACTGGTGGTGGTTGACAAAAAGATGATGCAAAACCATGGCCATGAGAACATCACAACCTATGTACTGACGATTCTCAACATGGTACGGCCACCCTTGTTGGGGACACCTGTGTCATTACAGTTACTAGAGGGTGTGTGTGTGTGTGTGTGTGTGTGTGTGTGTGTGCATTATTCATTCTGCTTTCTACTTGTGTCTTTATATATCTTATGGAAGAACTATGTTATTGGAGATAACTTTTAGTTTCACTATGTCCCAATCCAAAGAGCCATTTTGAGAACTTCAGAGAATAAACTAAGAAGGAAAAAACAATGTGACCCTTTCCGTAAAGTGAGATGCTTTGGATTTCTGATGGCTTCATTTACTACAACGTAAAAGCTCTAAGATGATGTGGACATATTTTAGTGCAGTAAATCTGTGTATCAGCAATATGTACATGCTTTTAGATGGCTGTATAGAAATATTACACGTATCTTTTAGGAATATTAATGTTCGAATGTTGAATGTAAATGATTTCATCTGCAAATCAGTAAAAGAGTATAACCCTTTGTGTCAGCTCAGATTAAATGTACCTCTGTCTCGAATTGACAGTGATGGTGATTATTTAAGAGTGGATACACAAAGCAGCATTTCACATAAATCAAATCTAGTAACAGAAGACAAAATCCTGGGTCACCCAAGTGTGTTTCTAAAAATCATTTGAATGTCAATATTTGCATCTTTCTATCTCAGCACAGAGTAGCCCTAGTTGTGTCTCTCTGCCCTGATGCCGTGTGACACCATGGCAGCATGGTCTTGGTGGACTGACCCTGCGTTTACGGTGTCCCAGGGAACTGAGGGGAGTCATGACAGGCCGTCTTCCCTGGCCTGGGGTTGAGACCTTGCTCAGTTAAGAACCACATGGCATAGGCTACTCTGGTTTATGATGAGTTTGCCTCTGTTCTATGGAGTTTTTGAAATAGTTGCACACCCCGGTGCCACAGCAGCTCTTTTGGCATGCTGGGTCATCACACGGATTGTGCTCATCCCCACCACTCTCATCATGCATTTCCACTGGGAGCCTTCTCCCTGTTTGCATCTCCCCTTCATCGTCTCCATACCCCACTTCTTCCTTCTCCTCTTTCCCCCTCTTGTCCTGTTCACATGTTTCTCTTGTGCTCCTGGGTTCCTTGACACGAGGGATTGGAGAATGCTCAGCGTGTGAAATCTTCACCATGAGCCAGAAAGTCCTTCCTGCACTCTAACGTGGACGCTCTCCAACTCAGAGGCCTGTGAGCCTTTCCTCGGTGTATGAGAAGAGGCTGGCCTCCCACCCCAGATGCTGGCTTTGGACTCCCTGGCAGCAGTGTAAGAACTCGACCCTTGGTAGTTAGACAGCCCTACTCAGGTCTGAAGAATAGGAGGCTGCCTCATGACTCTGGCCCAATAAGAGGCTGGGAGAAAATGTTGCCGCTTGTGGGGCTGAGGTAGATTTTCTGTCTTTTTTAGGTGTCTGCTTTATTCAAAGATGGAACAATTGGAGGAAATATCAACATCGCAATTGTAGGTCTGATTCTTCTGGAAGAAGAACAGGTATTCCATTGCTGAAACCAGAAGCTTTTTCTCCCCAGCAAAAATAATGCCTTTTAAATACAATTGTTCTAAAATATATTGGTTACTTCTCTTTCCATTGGGATTAGTATTTTGTATTTAATGCAATAAGTTTCTTTTCGGTTCTTATTAATAATTTATTAATTTTTTTTAGTTGAAGAGGTAGTAAGAAATAAGCTTTTTTTTACATTTTTTTTTTAGGTTTTTGTCAGAGGGTATGTGTGCTCACCAGAGACAGAAAAAGACAGAGAGAAGGAAAGTGAGAAATCATCCCCCAGGAGGATAGCCATATCACAATCCCTTCTCCTCCATTTTGCTGCTGGGATTTGGGGCACACATGCACACATGCCTGGCGTGACTTTCAAGCCACCAGGTCAGGGACTCGAACCACGGTCAGTCATTTTGGAGTCCAGTGCCTTCACCACCATGCCACCTGCTGGACCCAGAGTAGATTTTTAATTGGCTTATGATAAAACAGACTAAAATAGCCACCTTGAGTCTATGGGTGGGACATACACTAAGAATACAAAGTACAAAAATATCTTCAGCCACCAAGAGCTTCTAAGACGCCCATTAGAACTGAGCTCAGCACGCCGGGCGCGTGTGCGTGCGTGCCCAAGATCCCGAGAGGAGAATGGAGGAGAAGGGATTGCGGCGTGACCATCCCCCCTGGGGGGGTGATTTCTCGCTTTCTGTCTCTATGTCTCTCTCTGTCTGTCTAGCGAGCGCACGCGCCCTACAGTGAAAAATCTCTCAAAAAAAAAAAAAAAAAAAAGAAAGAACTGAGCTCAGAAGGGTTTTGCTGGAGGACTGACATGCGTTGTCGCCTGGAAGTTAGATTACACTGTGTGGCCCTGTACTGCCTTACTCTGCTATCTCCTAGATCCGAAGGGTGACCACGCTCACCTCATCACCTTCAGTCTGCGATTTTAATTTTCATAGAGGTGCTGGAATGTCAAAATCATTCCTGTCTTTGCATACAAAATTCCAAATTGTGCTACATCTTGGTGATGTCTTTGGCCCCCTCCAGACCCCTGGTAAATGTGCAGAGGCACACCTCAGGCGGCAGTGAGGACAGACGTGGACTCCCAGGCACGAGTAATGGGGGCGGGAGGGTGGCGCCTTAGTCATAGATGGGCCTCCCTCTGCCCCAGCTGGTCTCTGCCCTGTCCCCAAGCCTGGGACCCAGCATTACGTTCCTCCCTTACTGACATCTTCACCATGCCCTGTTAGCCATAGGTTTTTGTTTGTTTGTTCACATAAGAAATAATTGTTTAGATGAAACCTGAGATCGTCCATAAGCTCTGAGATACTGTCAGAGGTTCAAGTCTGGGATGCCGCTCTGCTTCCTGCATGGGGGGATGTGCACGACCAGGGTTGTTGCCAGCCTGAAGAGTCAGGGAAGGTACGGCTGCATTGTGAGCAGAGCTGGGCTGGCTATGTGAGCAGAGCTTCTCAGGTGACAGGTTAATTATTCTTTGTATTAAAACGTTTCACCTTGGAATTCATCCAGGCTGAAAAGAATAAGCGAGGTTATCGTTTGATCGTACACCTGTGTTAGCTTTAATTAATGCAGTTTTCCTGGAAAGGGCCTCCTGAAGAATGTAAAGCATGCCCCAGTGTTCACGTGTGGCGTTTAGCTTGGGAATATTTGACCCCCTGGAAAAACAAACTGAACATACAAGGTGGAAGCATATTTTCAGGCACTGAGGGGTAAAAATTTCAACACTAGTAGTAAAAGATTTAAACAGGATAGTTTCCTGAACTCAAAGTATTTAGCCTGATTTAAACTGCCCATCCATAGAAAAATGCAGCATTTCTATAAATCAGGTTCAAATAACTTGGTATAGATGCTTACGGTTAAATATCTCTACATAGTTCCCTTCTATTGGGTCATCGGCAAAGTTATCACACTTTTTTTGAATAGAAAAACAGAAAACTACATCATGACTTCTCCAACAACCCTATAGTTGCAGTCTATTTTCCAGAAATAAAACTTTTCTAGTTGACCCACCTCTTCTCGTAAGTATGTTACCTCTGTAGGAAAGCTACTTAATCTAACACTGCAATAGTAAACAAAAGTTATTCACTGGAAATCCCACTTGTCCCTGCGTGGCTATGAAGTGAACATAGCACTGTCTAGGTGTTTTCATGCGTGTGTATGTACAAAGCCATTTATAATGGATTCCATTGCTTTATACAATTTTGCGAAGTATTTTTCAAAGATTTTGAAAGCCAACAGTTCATACACATGGACACACACACAGAGTCTTCGAGATGCCTCCCCACTGTTTATGTACAGCCTAGAGAGATGTACCTAAGTGTCTGCACTGCACCTTCCTCTGGACTTTAATACATAAAGCGGACACATCAGCTGTGGACCACTCAGATCCACCTACATATCTGAACCCCACGCTAAAGGAGAACTGTGGCACCAATGCATCCTAATGTGCTTCTCTCTGTTTCTCGGGGGTCTTGGCCTCTCTTGCACAGCCAGGGCTGGTGATAAGTCACCATGCAGACCGCACCTTAAGCAGCTTCTGCCAGTGGCAGTCTGGATTGGTGGGGAAAGATGGAACTCGCCATGACCACGCCATCCTCCTGACCGGCCTAGACATATGTTCCTGGAAGAACGAGCCCTGCGATACCTTGGGTAAGGTCCTATAGGAGAGTTTTCTGGACCATGTGAGGGGTATGCGCCTTTTGGGAAGGAGGATAGTGAGTATTTTTGTGCCTTTTTTTTTTTTGCCCTTATACATTTAAAAAAAAAAAGAGAGAGAGAGAGAGAAAGTCTTACTTTATTGTAATCCTTCTGCTTCAGCCTCCCGAGTAGCTGGGGTGTAGCACTTTGCCCAGTTTGGGGTGGGGCCTAGATTGAGCCCAGGTCTCCAGTGTGGCCTCAGTTTGTTGAGTAGCAGAGTCAATCCACACACCTCGGTCCACATTTGAGAACGGAGGCTGAGCTGCTTGGGTGCAGTTGTGGAAAACAGACTCACTTCCTATATGAACTGTAGTCAAACAGCATAGTGTGTTCTTACTCATGGAGCCTGGTTATTGAACAAGGAAACATCCCTCCCAGACCGCAGTTTCTTTTTCTTCTAATGTAAGAAGTACTTTCTTCATTTTCTCCTACCCTCTGTGAGAATGGGGTCAGTAGAATCAAGGTCTCATCATGAGGGAGAAATGGTGTATTTGAGAATATTTATAGAAATGCTGCCATAGTACATTCCCCGTTGTTCTTGCTCTGTAAATACCTCCATCTAAGAAAATTTTTGTGTGTGTTTCCAGGACTAGGCGTATTTTGGAACTAGCATTTTATACCCTTCCAAACGGTCAGTGTTAAACAGTTTGTTCCTGATAAGGACTCTACTGAACATTTTTTCTAACTTACCATTTCTCTCAAATTCTTAGAAAGGAAGGTTTTTTTAATTACAAAAACTTTTTGATAGTACCTGGCTTAATAGAAGTTCATCCTCTTGTACAGAAGAGTTAGCATAGGGCCTGACTACTTGTGCTTAGAAAGGCCCACCTATGAGGCTGGCCCTTGGCTGGCCTCAGAGAACTACAACGTTGGTAGTTGCCACGACCCTACTTAGTACGAGGCTGACTGCACCTAAGCTGCTTCTGCGAGCAGTCCAGTCTGTGCACACCACCTGCTTCCCCTCTGGAGTATGACTTTTGTTAGGTGCTAGGCAGAGGGTGCCGCCGCAGCCATCACCAAGTAAACACTGCGGACGCTGAGTCTCTTGAGAGCATCCTGGTCGACAGCAGGCCACATCCCATTGCTAGGGAGTTGGGCACACTGTGTGGTGTCCCTGGGACCTCTTGCAGGTCCATGCCTGGTTTCCCCCAGACTCTGCACCATGCACCTTTTCCCTTTGCTGATTTCATTCTGTGTCCTTTGTCATATTAAATCATAACCATGAGGATGACAAATGCCCATCCTGGGAGTGTCCTGAGGCTGCCCTAACACATCCACTCTTACAGTACTCTTTTACTTGGGCTTCTAACAACACAGTCATGGGAAAAGGGCAGAAGTTCTCTTTCTGCAGCAAGTCCCCTCTTCTGTTCCACCCGTTATAGCCTGCAACAGGAACATTACATAGAACCATGAATTCTTTTCCACAGAACAGAGTCTCGGGCTCCTGGAAAGAGACTTCCCTCTCCCATGTTATTAAGTGCCCTTACTGCAGTGGTCCAAGGGTTTCCCATTTCCCATTTCCCCAAGTTGAATATAAGAACCAAATATGACCCAAGGACAGAAATACATACGTGATTCTTTCTTTATTTTATCACAATAACGCTGCCACGTGTTCTCCCAATCTCCCCATCCCACAGGATTTGCACCCATAAGTGGAATGTGCAGTAAACACCGCAGCTGTACAGTCAATGAAGACACTGGTCTTGGACTGGCCTTTACCATCGCCCACGAGTCTGGACACAAGTAGGTCCATCTCCACGGCAGAGTGGAGTCCAGGGTCCTCGCCGTACTGAACGATTACCATAGAAATATAAATCACTAGGTCAAGTCTGTAAAGGAAATTCACATGTATCGAATGAGAATGCCATTGACAATTACACAATGCTTTCACTTAGGTTCTTTTAAAAATTTATTTTATTATTAGTTAGTATTAGTGTTATTTATACATTTAATCGCTATACATCATTTCGATTGTAAAGAGATTTTACCCAACATGATATACACCATACACCAGGTGAGTTGAGAATACTGTACACTACTATACACGACATCAATAGGCAACACACTTAGGTACTTTTTTAAACATTTGTTTATTTTATGAGAGTTAGAGAAAGAGAAAGAGAGAGAGAAGCACTCTCAGCAGTCTCATGCTATAACCCCCCACCCCAAACTGCACAGCCAGCCCAGATCATGGTCATGCACACTGGCATTTAGAGGTGGATCAGGGGAGCAAAACCTTAATCTTTCCAATGAGTCCAACATTACTTGACACCAATAAGCTTACCTCTAAGCTAGCCCACACACTTGCCTGGCCCTGCTCTGTTACACTCCTGTTACACGCATGTCTAAGGAGAGTTGTGTGCTGTTCACTGTCCTGTATTTTGAACACGGTCTTTGGAATAATTACATTCCACAGTTAACAGTTGCTGAGGGACTCTAAATGATTGAGAACAGTACCAGAACTTCCCGTAGTCAACCACTGGTACTCTTAGGGTTGTGTTCTTCATTATTTTTAAAATGTGTAGAGACGCATTTGTTAATTAATATGCGGAGCAGAGTTTAGGAATGTGGGTACTAACAAGGGATTGGGTCTCGTCGGAACTGGCTTGCTTGCTTTATTCCACCCTGACTTCAGGGTAGTTGGTTTGGAAAAGAAACATCAGTGGGCATGTGAGCCTAGGGGTTCAACACGGGGAGAGGCTGGTACTGGCCACGTGGCTGCGCGGATAGCATGCCACGAGTGTCACTTCTTGAATGAAACATTGAAACGTATACCTTGCAGAATGGAAGACTCCTAGCAATTATAGCAAAACTGCAACTTTTACATTAGATTTATTAGGCCAATAGTCCTGCAAGGTGCCTTCAGTTGGGTACCATCTATTAAAATGTAATGCAAAGGGCCCCCTTGCTGGCCACCAGCTGTGGACTTCCCGTGACTGGTTAGCACAGGCTGGAAGTAATGCGAGTATTTCCTGCCATGATGAGCTGTACTTCAAATTTCTCCTAAAAAGTGCTCAACCAGGAAGT